TTTTCCAAGTTTTTCCATTTCCTAACAAATGTGGCAATGTCATTCTTTCTGATGGAGGCATAGAATTCCATTGTGTATATATACCACATTTTCTGGGTCCATTCATCTACTGAGGGGCATCTGGGTTGGTTCCATATCTTAGCTATGGTAAATAATGCTGCAATAAACATAGTTGTGCTGGTAGCTTTAGTGTGGTCTTGTTTGTAAACATTTGGGTAAATGCCCAAAAGTGGGATTGCTGGGTCATAGGGGAGCTCTATGTGAAGTCTTTTGAGGAACCTCCATACTGCTTTCCAAAGTGGTTGAACAAGTTTACATTCCCACCAACAATGAAGTAAGGTTCCTTTTTGTCCACATCCCCTCCAGCATCTGTTGTTGTTAGAGTTCTTGATTTTTGCCGTTCTAACTGGAGTGAGGTGGTATCTCAATGTTGTTTTGATTTGCATTTCTTTTATGGCTAGGGATGTTGAGCATTTCTTCATGTGTCTATTGGCCATCCTTCTTTCTTCTTCAGAGAAGTTTCTCTTTAAGTCTTTCGCCCACTTGTTTATTGGGCAGTTGTTTCTTTGAGGATTTGTTGTTGGGGGATTTAATTTTTTGAATTCCAAGTATATTTTAGATATGAGACCCTTGTCCGTTGTATAACTAGTAAAGATCTTCTCCCAATCCGTGGGCTTTCTATTGATCTTGCTAGCTATGTCCTTTGCCATGCAGAAGCTCTGCAACTTTATGCAATCTCATTTGTCCAACCTTTCTTTGATTTGTTGTGTTTCCAGGTCTCTATTCAGAAAATTTCGGCCTGAGCCAAGGAGACATAGGGTTTCTCCTATTCCATCCTGTAATGTTTTCAGAGTGTCTGCTTTGAGTTCAAGGTCTTTGATCCATTTGGAGTTGATCCTGGGGCAGGGTGATATATAAGGATCTAGCTTTAGTTTTCTACAAGTAGTTAACCAATTTTGCCAGCACCATTTACTGAAGAGGCTGTCTTTGTTCCATTCTATTGTTTTAGTTCCCTTATCGAAGATTAGATGGCTATAGGTCTGTAGGTTCATTTCTGGGTTTTCAATTCTATTCCATTGGTCCTGAGGTCTGTTCTTATGCCAATACCAAGCCAGCACAACTATGTTTATTGCAGCATTATTTACCATAGCTAAGATCTGGAACCAACCCAGATGCCCCTCAGTAGATGAATTGATCAAGAAAATGTGGTATATATACACAATGGAATTCTATGCCTCCATCAGAAAGAATGACTTTGCCCCATTTGTTAGGAAATAGAAAGACTTGGAAAAAATTATATTAAGCGAAGTAAGCCAAGCCCAAAGAAACATAGGCCCCATGGTTTCCCTTATTTGCAATATCTAGTATATGTATGAGTCAAGTGGAAAAGGTCAGATAATGTGATGTCAGGAAAATGAACCCTTAGACATGTATCTTAATGTTTTTTCTTTCGTGCATGTGTTTCTAACACATTAGAAGACTATCTCTTTGTTGCTTTGTATGTCCCTCCCCCACAGTATAACCCCTGCTTTCACTATATTTGATGTCAGTATAACTTGTGGAGGAGAGGGGGAAAAAACAGTTGTTTAAGGATACAGGTGGACCTGATGCAACAACGAGAAGTATAAGTTGTCATGTCCAAAACGAGCTTTACATCCTGGGTGGGAGGGGAGGGGGAAGGGGGGGAGGAGAAGGGTTGGGATTGGGGGGGAGGGGGGAGGCTGGGAAGGGATGTGAAGGGTAAACCAAAGGAGGAGGCTGCAATGCTTGGTAAGAAATGTACGCATTATCCTGCCCATGTAATTGTAACCCCTCTGTACAGTATGTTCACAAATAAAAAATAAATAAATAAATTTAAAAAAAAAGAAATAAAAGTGGAGCTCAAAACTACCCACAGGCTCTTATTTCCTACCTTTGAGGAGATGTCAAAAAGTCTGGCTGCGTCTCTAAAGATGTTGCTCAGTTTGAAGAAGTTATAAAAGAGGAGAACTTCCCCCTCACTAACCCAGGATAGCTTTTGTTGTTCTGTGAGAGGAAGACATTGAGGAGGCCCATTTAAGATGACAGGGCAGACAGAGAAATACCAAGGTCCAAATGGAATGAGGAAGTGATTCAGGTCCGGGAAGTGGGCCAGATGAAACACAGATATGAAAACCACCCAGCCATTCCCACATGTGAAATTAAACCTTGGTGCAAGAAAGACACTCAAGAAATTGATTCCCAGAGAATGGCAATCCAAAAGTAGTGTAACCAAAGGCAAAACCCCCACTCCTAACCCTGTTTGTGTGAAGCTCCACCCCTTTGACTGACCTGCCTGCTGTGTCTCTCTTGACCATTGTCCTAATAAAATATGTTTTAAAACTAGGAAGCCACCCAAAATACTAGCCACTGGTGAATTGCTAGAAATAATGGCAAAAACATGATTGTTTTAAAATCCCTGCCTATTAAGGAACTATTTTAAACATGATATACTATAGTAATTCTCAAAACAGCACTGCTCAGACATTAAATTCTGATTGCCTTTTGATTCTAGAATTTATGCCAAGTTATATAATACAAGGAAAATATGCTAAGATTTTTTATAAAGCTGTGAACTTTATTTGAGACATCTAATTTTAATTTTAAACCGTTTTTTTCAATTGAAAATGGGAGAGTTCCAACTATATTTTAATGGAAAAAATGATAATGAATGAACTCACACTAATGACTCTTATGTATGCCTGTATCATCGAGGAGACTGTTGTTTTACAGAACAATTTTTTATATATCCTTCATGGTACAGTATTGTAGTTTTCTGAAGTTGAATTTATGGCAAATTGAGAGATCAAAACAATTTTCTTGACTTGTTCCTTTTACTGAATTAATTTTTCTAAATGCTTCTAGACATACTGCTAGTGTGATTCACACATTTTATTTTAATAGACAAAAGAAATGGTTATTGAATTGTCATGTAATTCTTTATAAAGTTGTTTTAAGTTGACTATGCCTTAAAAGTTAGAATAAGCTAAAATGTTGATTATTTCTTCAGAAGGCCTTTCTGCCCTTTGAAAGATCCTTTGTGGAATATTTTCTGAAGATTCAAAAAGAAATATGTTAAAAGTAATTTTTCTTCCAGTGTTAGCAATAACTGTACATTCAGTCAACATGGCAAACTACTTGATACTTTTAATAAGAACCATAATTTTCAAGTGTAATTATTATGTTTTTTACTCAGAGATTGTATATAAATTCAGGCTTGTCACTCTGTTAAAAATTTAAGAACTCCTAAAACTTGTTAGTTATGCCGGGCGCTGGTGGCTCACGCCTGTAATCCTAGCTACTCAGGAGGCTGAGATCTGAGGATCGCGGTTCAAAGCCACCCGGGGCAGGAGAGACCATGAGACTCCTATCTCCAATAAAACCACCAGACAACCGGAAGTGGCGCTGTAGCTGAAGTGGTAGAGCACTCGCCTTGAGCTGAAGAGCTGAAGGACAGCGCCCAGGCCCAGAGTTCAAGCCCCACGACCGACCAAAAAAACCCAAAAAACAAAAAACTTGTTATTTACATATCTATTCTTTCTCTGCTATACTCACTCAATTCTCTTCATTTTACACTATTAAAGCAAAGGGAATCTTAATAGGCTTACAATATTTTCATGTATCTTATAATATACTATGAACGTTTCCCTGATGGTAATATCCAAGAATAAGATAACAACCAAAAATAAAACAAAACAACACAGAAACCCAGAAAATCTCATCTAAGAATATGTGGAGATTTTACTCTAAAAAACAACAATAACAATTTATTTGTGTTATACTTCACAATAGCATCATTGTCTCAGAATGTAGTGATAATTGTAACACTCATTAGAGAAAGCAGCATGGTTATAGACATATGAATCGGTGATGAAATTGTTCAGCATTATTATTGGGACAGGAGCCATTGGAATGTAAGTGTTGGCTTTCCATTTCTCTCGTGAATTGATTATTCCATTAATTGCAAACCTTATTTTACCTTGGAATAGGTCAACTGATAAGCACCATCAGTGATAACTACAGAATTGTGATACATGATTCATTTTTATAACAACCACATTGATTTTTGGTTCTTTTTTTTAAGAGAGCAGAGGTATACTCTTTAACTATAACCCCCTTTTACAGCATCTTTTAAAATAAAATAAATTTTAAAAAAACAACAGGCAGATGGATACTATGGAGTAGCTTGACCCATACTTGCTGACAGGGCAACTGCTGGTAGTACCAGTATTTTGAAGTATTTGGAGTGAGAGGGTAACCGTGTAATGAAAGTAATGGTAAGTCTTTTGTTCTAAAAAAAGTCAGTAACATCTTTAAAATAATACAAGAGACCAAGCTAACATACTGAAAATACCATATCATTGAATTTCTCCAATTATGTATATGTAAATGTTGCAATGGGTCCACCTGTATCCCCAGTCAAACAATTTGTTTTTTCCCTTCCCCTCCACAAATTATACCAACATCAAATACAATGAAAACAGGGGTTATACCGTGGGGGAGGGACATATAAAAGAGTAGGGATTTTTCTATGGAAACCTCTTTAGCGTTGGTTATCTTAGGTACTTTAAAGCAAGTTCATTGAATTAAATAAATGTCTCAATTTTAGCATATTTTAGGAGAAATGCATGTCTTCCCTGTTTCCTCAATTAGTACATATTAGTGAGATTTTGCTGTACATTTAATTCCAGCACTGCTGTAGGTACCTGTAAAGAAGTAATTAATGTTGTACATTAGGCAGCAATTGATTTTGCATTTTATTTGGCTTAACTTTTCTAGTTAAGTCCTGATATTTAATTTGTAGGGAGACCTCTAAGCAGTTCTATATTTTTATGTTTATTCTCTTCTCTGAATTAATGAAATAAACACATATATTGATTTCAGTATGAGCTTTATTAATGTAGTTAATATACCTTACTAATGTTATTTCATGTATTTGGATTAATACCATAATTGTTTATGATTCAACGTTTTTTTTTCAGTTTCAAAAAGTGCAGAAGCTTCAGAAGAAAAGAAGGCTGTGCCTATAAAGAAGAAAATGAAAGAATTGAGGATTCTGGACACCAAAACAGCCCAAAATCTATGTATGTAAAATGTTCTGCATTTACTATTTCTCATAGTGATAATGTTGTTAGTGGCTGTTGAATGCAAGTTAAAAGTGTGTAACTTATTTCCACAGTGATATTATGAGTCTTCTAGCAACAACATTCTGTATAAATATGTTTTGAGTTACGTTTTGTTACAGGCATTTTGGCAAAATTATAATTTCAGCTTTGGTCAGTTCAGATGGGTAAATCTTTTGAAAAATACTGTTACTAATGAAACATACACCAGAGTTGAAGGAAAAATGTTAATTTTTTCCCTTCTGACTAGAGTACTCCCTAGTCAACCTCTGCAAGTCTTTTCATTGCTATTTTGTTATGTTTGAAGTGATCGTGATGCAATCAGAGAAATTAACTGTGACAAATTAAAACTGGTTACTGAACTAGTCATTCATTAATTATGACTTTTCTAAAATAGCTGAATAGTTAATCTGACCTCCTACATCTATGTTGTACTTTAACATATTTTCCCCTATGCATTAAATTTAGAAGTTTATGACAATAGAGTAGACTGTTAAGATTCTAAGGACACCAAAACATGATACATGAGAAACTTCAAAACATCAAGTATTTCTAATTGTACAAGTACTATGAAAGATTTTTTTGTAATGGAGTGTGCTATAGAGAATCAGATTCAAAATCTCATCAATTTCCTTTCACTAGGAATGTAGTCAAAGACAGGTTCTGGTCATCCCTATATTCCTCGCTATGTAGGAGGCTAAGATCCAAGGATCATAGTTCAAAGCCAGCATAGTCAGGAAACTCAATGCGACTCTTACGTATAATTAACCACCAATAAATAAATAAACAGCAATGGAGTTTATGTGCTAACCTTTGAACATAAAAGGTCATGGACAGCACACAGCTGAGAGCTCAAGCCCTAGCACTGGCAGCTGAAATCCCTTTCCCCCCACAAAAAAAGAAGAAATAAATATAATACCTTTAGTGAATTTGTACATTGCTTACCTGATAATAGACTTTCTTGATAAAGTTAAGGATCATGATTTTTTCCACTGAAAACACAATATGATCTTTATTGCTGGTTTATATCTGTCAACATAATTTGATGTGGAGATCATTGATTTTTCTATCTAGGTAATTCTTTCTTCATTGTTGAGGGTTAATTTTTCTTTTGGTACCAGTGAAATCATGCAGATATTTTCATGGAAATATAATTCACTTCCAGTATCTTCAAGAAAAGAGCACATGTATATTCATTAAATAAAGTACATTTAATGGGAAATTAATATGGGATAGTTTGTTGAGAAATACTTCCTATGTACATGTGAGCTAAGTATAATTTGTTCAATTATTCCACAATGACATAAAATATACCTGATTAAATGTTGACAGGAAATATTGATTTAGTATATATCAAAAAACTATACATAATAGGACATCATATGAGTGTCAGCAGTAATGCAGAGCACACTAATGATTCAGACACTTAGGATTTGTCATATTTCTATAAGTTGGTATTCTATAAAATAGGAACCAGATATTTATTAGGACTTAATTTTTGATCCTGCTCTATTTTTAGTATGATCACCTTTTTTTTAAAAGCAATTTTCCTGGGATCATATCGTATGCCATATGAAGACATAAAAAACATTATTCTGGAGGTTAATGAAGACATGCTGAGTGAGGCTTTAATTCAGGTAAGTTGGATAACTTTTTAAATTATTTTCTCAACTCTTTTTAAATTGCTATTTTCTCATTGGGGTTGATAGAAAATACTCTTCAATATTGGGATAATAGAATCTGCAATGATTACTTTTATTTTAATAAGATGACTCGATATCTGGGTTCTAATTCTTTTTCTTTCTCATAAATAAGCTAATATTCTTTAAAATATAAGCAGATGTATCAGTCCCTGTCATTCACTGTACATGAAAGTACATTTATTTTATCATCAAAATGCACCAATATGTAGCTATTGCTATTACCTTATTATTAGTGTAAAAGCTAAGTGGTCAAAAGTTAAAAAGCTCATTCAAGATTTCTTTTTTCTTGGTCTAGGAGCTTGAACTTAGGGCCTGGACACTGTCCTTGAGTTTTTTTGCTTAAGGCTTGTCCTATACACTTTGGGATACAGCTCCACTTCTGGCTTTTAGGTGTTTAATTGGAGAGAGAGCCCAAGACATTTTCCTGCTGGTGCTAGATTCGAGCTATGATCCTCAATTCTCAGCCTTCTGAATAACAGGATTTTAGACCTGAACCAGCAGTGCCTAGATTACACTTAGCTGTGTTATGTGCTTAATTTATGCTGGGGATTGTGTTAAACACTATTTGTATTATATAAAATTTTTAATGAATTCTATAGTAATCAGTGTAAGATAAGCACTATTATATATAATACATTTTCTTTTTTTTGTTTGTTTGTGTGTTTGGTCTGTCATGGGATTTGAACTCGGGACCTGGGTGCTGTCCCTGAGCTCCTTTTTCCCAAGTCTAGTGGTCTACCACTTTGAACCACAGCACCACCTCTGGTTATCTGGTGGTTGATTGGATATAAGAATCTCATGGAGAGGGGAAGGGGAAAAAACAAATCGTTTAAATAGGAATACAGGTGGACCCATTGCAATAATGAGATGTACAAGTCGTTATGTCGAAAAATGAACTTTACAACTTTGGTGTGGAGGGTGGGGGGGGGGGGGGGGGGGAGGATGGGAAGGGATGGGAAGGGGAAACAAAGGAGAGGGCTACAATGCTTGATAAGAAATGTACTCATTATCTTGCCCATGTAATTGTAACCCCTCTGTACAGTATTTTCACAGTAAAAAAAAAAAAAAAAAAGAATCTCATGGACTTTCCAGCCCAGGCTACCTTTGAATGTGATCCTCAGATCTTAGGCTTCTGAGTAGCTAGGATTACAGGCATGAGCCACCAACACTCAGCATATGTATATATATGTATATATGTTGTGATATATATATATATATATATTACACAAAAAGAACTGAGGCTTAGAGATTTTTCCAGGGTCCCCTAGCTTATAAGTTGTACAGTAGAGACAGTAATTCAAAACAAGAACTATCATGACTCAATCCATTATATATATTTTTTTTAATTTATTTTTTTTATTTGTGAACATACTGTACAGAGGGGTTACAATTACATGGGCAGGATAATGCGTACATTTCTTACCAAGCATTGCAGCCTCCTCCTTTGGTTTACCCTTCACATCCCTTCCCAGCCCCCCCACTCCCCCCAATCCCAACCCTTCTCCTCTCCCCCCTTCCCCCCCCCGACCGATGTGAGCGTTGGTGGTATAGTGGTGAGCATAGCTGCCTTCCATTATATTTTTTGTTCCTCTCTTCTTATAGTGTTTTGCTCATCAAAATTACATTATTGTTAATACTGCACCAGTTCTTTGTAGAATTCATTTTCTCTATCTATCTATCTATCTATCTATCTATCTATCTATCTATCTATCTATCCATCCATCCATCCATTTATACTTATATATATGTGCATATTTGATACCTACCCACACACAGGCGGGTCTACATGCACACACACACACACACACACACACACACACACACACACAGGTAGATAGATACGTGTGTGTATATCCTCATATAAAACTCTTTGTCTCTTTCTTGTTTAAATTTTATAATATAGAACTCAAAAAATTGAAGGACATATTATTATAATTTTGTTTTGCTATTGTTATTGTTGTATTTGTTTTTCTTTTCTGAGATAAGGTCTACTGATCTCTTCTATATAACCAAATTATGGTAAGATTTTGAAGAATTAATCCATGTTGGCATTATTTTGTCCGTTATATCCCTGTTGCTTTTCCTTGATGCCTTGGTAAATAAAATCAACTTTGAATATGCCGAGTGGTTCTATGATATTTACTTCTCTGTAACAATTTAAGAAACATTTCTTATTTTTAAAAGTATATTTTCATCTCTTCAGGGAATACTATAACTGAGATTTGTATTTATTGAATACATCATATGCTGCCATTTGTTAAGGTGTATGTATTGAAACATTACCTGGGATTTTTTTGTACTTCACTTTATTTTTATAGCATAGACAATGTCTATTGACTTCTTTTTAAATTGAGAAGCCTGGTGCAGTTCGGAGGAATGAATCACTTCAAGTTTGAATAAGCCAGTAATTATGTATAAATTCTTGACAGTATTAGTTTAATATCAAAAGTTTTACCATGAAAACAGCTACAGTTAAATCATATTATCCTAAAATTTATAGTACAGTATGGTGATTGTGTTCTAATAGTACTAATCAGCAGATTCTGTGTCTTTTCTACTTATAGTGTATGTATTGATATTCTCCTGTCTCATTCCTTCCTATTTTCTAGACGTCCATACATATTGTTAAATCTTTATCCTTTTTTCTTTTTCCTATAAGTGTATGCATATATAGGATTTTTGTTATTGTTGTTGTGGTCATTGTCATTATGTTTTTGCTCACTTTTTTTGGTATCTTTGGGCTTGAACTTAGCATTTAGACATTGTGCCTGAGCTTTTTGTGCTCACAGATAGTGAACCACAGCTCCACATCTGGCTTTTGGTATTTAGTTGGAGATAAGGCTCTCAGGGATTTTGCTGTGTGGGCTGATTTTGAATCATGATCCTCAGATCATAGCCTCTTGAATAGCTAGGATTACAGACCTGAGTCATTAGCAACTGGCTTTGCCCCATTAATTTTTGTGCCTTCTGTTTTTCCCATGTTTTTTACATGATCTGACTCTTTTAAAAGTCAACCTGCTTTCCTTCGTAGTGCCAGATACTCTAAAAACTTTTCTCATTCCTTACTCTATTCAATCAAAACTTATTTTTATAATCTGCTTATAAGAAAACAAAACAGTTTAATGTGTAATATAATCTATATAATTACAATAGGGTCAATTGGGTATGAGTCATAAATTATAAGTCAATGAGTTATTACGTTGACAGTGAATATTTAGACAGGTCAAGTGTCTCTGGTCTCTTGGTCAAGGAAAATGCCCCTTCACTGTAAACTATTGTATGATTTTTTTCATCCCCTAAAGAAGACTGCTTTGCTCATGTAAGAGAAAAGGCTATAATCACAAGCATTTCTTTCACCCTCTTATACCACTAATGTTTGCTTCATTGAGGCAAAAGTAACATCTATTTGCCATTCATATGAGCTGTTTACCATTTGTGTCTAATTACCATGTAGCACATAGATAATGCATTGCATTAAATATGTATCATCAGATTAACTTTGTTGTAAGTTGTGCTTGATTACAGTGCTAAACTCCATCCATGCATAATCATAGTTTGTTTTTCATGTAACATGGTTGTCTTCTCATGATAAAAACAACAAAAAACAATGAAGTATACATTAGTTTCCAGGGATTGAATTAACACCAGTATTATTTCCTTGATTATGTGCCAATATACTCTTCCTTACAAGACAATGAATAGATTTTAGTTACTTGAATGGATAAATGCCTTACTAAAAAAATAAATAAAACTACTTTTATTTAATCAACAAGATGAAGCTCAAATGTTATGGTTATTAATAAAAGTACTAATATGTCTGTGTTTTGAAGTTGTCAAATTTAAGATAGAAGCTGGGTGTCACTAAGTGGAAGAAACTGAAATGTCCTAAAATACTTAAGCAACACATAGAAACATTTAAAAGTACAGTGTATCTGAGGTTGTTGAGGAGCTTTTAATATATGCAATTATGAGTTACTTCCAAATAATGTGTACTCAATTTAGGTGATTGTTAGAATCATTTTTCCAGCTTTGAAAAGCTGCTTGTGTGTAATTTACCTTGATTTCTATAAAACTAGTTAATTCTAAGATAGCATTAGGATAAAAATAATTTGTAGAAAAATTTACATATAAAAGTTGACAAAGAAATGAAATTAGTAGTTACAAAAGACTGATTCAGAGGTAAATCATCTTTTTGGAGATATTTAGTGTATTGGAATGGTTAGTAAGTACAGAAAAAATATCATTTTGATAGGGAATGTATGTTCAGACTTCTGAGACATGTGTGAAAAATACATGATCCACATAGCATGTAGAGTATCATTATTGCAGAACCACTTTTATAGATGTTATTGAAAAGAGTTGATAGCTATGAGTTCAAAGTCCCATTCTTGAATATATAAAAAAATAACATCTTTATTTTAATTTACTCCTAATTAGTATTTAGTATTTCACTTAAAGTTATAGGCAACAGACTAAAGTAGTATTAATCATACTTCTAAATCTGACACTAATAGAAATAATAAATATTTTCATATCATATTCATTTTCTGGCAGATTTCTTGACACATTGTTTATACTCAACTACTTCAGAAGTAAAGTACTTATTAGGTCTGCCACTAGATCTTACTCTTTTAATTCTTTAATCAAGAAGCAAATGTATTATTGTATCATTGGTTTATTTTTGTAAATACATTGATAACTGTTTTAATGTAATTAGTTTCCTTTTTACCTTATGTATTTTATTCTATTGCAAGAAGGGATGTGAAAGACAAAGTGCTTTCTGGCACTAAAAGGAGCCTTAGCTCAGATTGGGCTCTTCCTTAAGTGGGCTTTCTAGAACAAACTTGAAGTGGGCTTTGAAGTTTTATTAGGATTAGGAAACTGATAGGGTGGACAAAGACTTGCAGTATATAAAGATTAATATCTTATTATTC